GTCAGTAAGACTTTGGCCACCTGACACTCAACACAGGCTACAAATGGACAAAGAAGCAACATCTTTGGACTAGCTAGAACCCCAAATATTCATAGACCAGACTTCTTCACAATACACGCCTTTATGGCTGTCCCCTAAGAGAGATTCTCTCTCAGAAACGTGGATGTTCCCAGAAAAACCCCACAAAGTAACACTAATACCAACAATAACAGTACCTGGAGACTTTTAAGGAAAAACCCAACACTAACACATGTTACTGGGCTGAACTCATGTTTTACTTGAGAGATGAGTCCCTTTGTTTTTTCCCCTTCTTTTTAACTTGCTCTCTTAGGTTAAAAAAAAGGGAATATATGGAGCTTGCCAGGAGGCTGCGACCATAGGCACCGCCTTGCTGGGAGGAGGGAACAGAACTAGAGACTTCAGCCAGTGCACAAATGAAGAGACCAGCTCCCTGCAGGACGTGAGCGTCCTGGCTCAGCATCGTTACCGGTCTGGAGCAGAATGGATGGTTTCTAATTAAGCAATTTCAGGCAATATTCATTTCCCGTGGATCTCTTACCTTCATTATCCCATTCCAGTTGTCTCCCGTGGATACTCGGAAGAGAGTCAGAAAGGCCATCCCAAAGTTTCTGAAGGTGGCGTGCCGCCCCAGCCCCTCGCAAGGGTGCGTGTCGTCACACTCTGCGGGACCAAGCACGGCCGTGAGACCCCCGCTCACCCACCGCTCCCACCCCTTCCACTGGCACGGCACAGGGGAAGACTCACCGAGGTCTCCAAACAGCTCCACTCCAAGAGCTGCAAATATGAAAAACAACAACATGAAGAGAAGACCCAGATTTCCCACCTGGAAAGAGAAAAAGAAATGGGGGGAAAAAAAACACAAAAAAAAGAACATTCATTGATTTTTTTGTTCCAGACCTGTTTCTTGCTGTATTCTTTAATCCAAAACTTAAATTGCTTCAGGGAAAAAATGACCTCAATGTGAGGACTGTATCTCAGACTGCTTCGGAAGGGAAATGGGATTCTCTAATGACAGTAAAGATAAAATGATTAGCATTCCTCTGCAGTAGGAAATTAGCTCTGGGCCAGAGGAGATGTGGTTTGATATGGCAGTGGGTTACCTGCGGCAGCGCTTGCATCACGGTGTCCAAGAGAGCTCTCATCCCTACAGCCATCTTCAGCAACTTCAACACTGCGGAAAACACGTTGGTAACATGGTAACGGCAGCGTTAGCACGGAGCCGCAAACTCAGTCCCTCTCCCGGGAGCCACAGATTATAGAAAGAGAAACGTAAGATCATGTCAAGTGTTCTCCGTTAGCCGCTGTAGTCCCTGGCCTTTTTACATCACTCCTGGTTGCCTGGATACTCTGAAAATCCCGTGAATAGCAGCATCACCTATCCTGAGACTTGGAGAAAGCGTCATCGTTCTGCCTGGCTTTTCCTTTCCCCACTATATCTGTGTTGGATCCATCTCCTCCTTCCTCTGGTTATCGTCAGCAATTACTTTCCCAGCCCTGGGGCTACTTTCCCACTTCCACAGGCTACCCACTTTCATACAATATTCATCGAGGAGCTGATTTACACATCTCTTCCAGAAGGTTGCGTTTCCAATTGGAAACCACATGTATTTTTAATTCTGAAAGGGATCCAATGCACAGGAAAACCACTTTTTTTCCCCCTTTGAGACACAGCAGCATTTCATTTCTCCTCCAATTCCTCCTTTGCTTAGATGAGGGCTGCAATCTTAGCAATTACACCTCAGAGCACAACGCTGCCCTTCAGGAGGGCCTGGGAGTGCTTTATGAAGGGCCTGAGCACTCATATTTTACGTCTTCATCGTTTGGCCCTGAGACCTCCCTGTTCTGAAAAGCCAGAAGCTGGCTTCCCACCTCGGGAACGTGTCGTTACAAGTCTGAAGGGACAGATGGATGCAGAGTGACGAGGCACGCTTCGTCACCGAGCAGCGAGATGTAAAGTCCCACGGGAAATTAAATTTATTAGATGCTTGTCTTTTAAAGCCCATGTACTCAAGCTTGTGTTCTCTAATCCCCGTTAGAGATGACTTTGGATTTTTTTTCCAGGTACGTGTCTGGGAGTTACAGCCACAGCCATATCTCCTTTATTTATTTCTAAGCTCTCAGCCTTCAAGTCATCTTAAGACAGAAGCACAGGGTCAGCTGGCTCAGCTTTTTGACTCCTCGCAAGTATTTTCCCCCATTGTTCTTTTATTTGTTTACAGCCTGTCGATGCCAGAACTATGCACATCATGATGGGAATGTGCCCCAGAACCGTTTCCCAACACTTAACTCTCTCCTAGAGGGGACCCTGCACCTGGAACACAAGCCAATTCTGCTTTGTTCGTCTCACCTCGAGCAATCCTGAGAACCCTCATGATTCGGATAATAGTGGGGTTAATTGGGAGCGAAGCGTTCACCTCGATCTCTTCCAAAGTGATGCCCATGATAGACAGCAGCACGATTGCCAGATCTAATTGGTTCCATCTGGAGACAACACAAAACGAAGTTTAACAGCTACTAAGAAGCTGGCAAGGGGAGGCAGCTCGTTTCACGCGAATTCCAGTCATTTCAATGGTTCCAGCACTCAGATGAATCTGCAGCATTTTTCTGAGGGTATTATACAAAGGCAGTTATGTTATGAAATCATTATAACTAATGCATCTCGTTAGAAAACCAGCCAATTCCAAAGATATTCTTGACTGAGGGGAAACAGAAACAAAAGCCGGGCAGTTTTCTACCCGGAGGCTGCAGACCCCAGGGGAGATGCTGCGGGATCCGTCCAGCCGCTTCTGGACATGACAGACGTGGACCTCAGCGCGAGATGTGCCCTGGAAAGACCCAGACCCCGTGTCCAGTCCTCGCAACAAAAATCACACTGGGCGAAGGGAAGACATTGAGGATTCGTGCCGGGTCAGAGGTGTAATCCCAGCACGGACACCCGAAACATGGGGAGATGAAGTGTGGAACCGTGCCCCAGCTGCTGAAGGGCTCGTGTCGAGCCCTGTTCAGTGCCAGCACTCCCGGTATTGACATTGAAGGAGGCAAACGTGGGAGGAGAAAAATTCACCAAGGACATAAAATCTGTATTTGTGAGGTGAGAGAGTGAAAATCTAGAAGCAGCAGCAATGTCTGCTGCTTGGCATCTGCATAAAAAGAGGTCCCTTTTCTCTTTCATTTCCACTCAGGACCAGATTCTCTCTCTTGGCATAAATTTTGTCACTTCACCAGGTCCTCTGGATTATTTGGACACACAACCGGTGTGGGAAGAGAACGAGCCGCTCGGTGTGAAACTCACTCCAATTTCGTCCACCCCCAAGGGCCAAACTGGTTCAATCACGCTCCTCAGCACGCACGACCCTTTCTCTAACTCACACCCCAAGCCTCCACCTACCCTGGTTTCAAGCAGTCACACCAAAAAGCGTTCTCACGTATCAGACTGACATCACTGGGAAAAGCATCAGGGTCCAGGACACCGAATTTGGACAGTTTCCTCCAGAAACCTGCTGCTGCCCCCACAGTCAAGACAGAGCTTTTGTTACCTGTCTTGGAAGAAGCGACGAAACCCGAAGGCGATCAGCTTGAAAACAGACTCCAGGACAAAGATAACAGTGAAGATGTAATTGCAAATCTTCAGGGCTTCGTCGAGAACCTGGGATGTGGACACAGGACGGGGGTTAGATGAGGGGTTTGCTCTGCTGAGGGTCTTTGTTACCCACAAACCTGCTCTCCTCTTCTCTCACCAGTTACTCATTTCCAAACTACAGATAAAAGGCTCGAACTGTGGGTTCTCTGCGATGCCAAACATCCCGGAGAAAAGTTCCAGCGCTCCAGGGACTGCACACACTGCATTTCTGCCTGGCTCCAATCCAGCTGCTGCAATTCCCAGGAGGGGCTGACCCAAACCCGAGGCACAACTCGGACCCCACCGCAGTACCAGCCCCAGCCGGGATCGCCCGGGTGAGTGGTGGGAGCTGCCATGTGTGCGGGGGTCAGCAGCGCAAAACCCCTCGTTGCTTTTGGCAGAAAGCTGAATTTCATCCCACTCGCTCGTTTGTGCACTGCTGCGAGAGCCGGGGGCTGGCCGGGTCCGCGCAGGCACTGGCCAAATGGCTTCTTTGTGACAGCCCGTCATTTAGTGCTCACCGCGCGCTTTTGGCAAGGAGCAGGAGAGAGGGATGACACGGCAGCAGGAGCCAGTGCCTCGGGTTTTCCTCTGCCCACCCTTCCCTCCACACAAGTCACAGCCTGGCCATTAGCTACAGGTTCCTCCTGGCTGGGACAGCTCTGGCACGGTCAGAGGTGACGTCATCCCCAAAGTCCTGCTCGTGAAGAAGTGCCGTGGTAGCAGCATCCTGCACAGCCTCTTCAGTAACGTACATTGAGTTTCTCACTGCTGGCAAACAACAAGGTAATAACCGTGTCCAGGGCACGTAAAGGAATGTGGGAGATGGCAACAGAGCCATCTCAGACCAAAACCAAGACTTGCTGATCCCTGACTGGAAGAAATCCTAGCAGAATGGGTTTAACCACGTGCTCTGCCCTTATGCCGCAGTTTAGCTTCAAGCATCTGTGGATGAAAAGCCCCTCACCTGCCCGAGAAGTACAAGCTCAGCCACCAAAGGAAGCCGTGGCTCTGAACGAGCCTCCCTGTCTACTGCAGGGGACTTGGGCTCTGCCAGCAAATGAGCTTATTTCTTTGGCAAAAACAGATTTTCCCCTGCAACTCTTTGCTCGAATCGCCTCTATGCACACTGCAGCCCTTCCTCTCTACAGGCAGCCACAGCATCTCCGGCTGGAATCTCATCTGCACGGCATCCCAGGGTATCCCACCACCAGCCCCTTTCAGCACCACGCCAAGCAATCGTTAGTTTGGATATGAAGCTCTCTGGTACATTCAGCTTTTTAATTATCTGCAGGATCCCAGCCATCGGTCGCCCAGCCCAGAGGGATTTCGGGGACCTGATTCAGCAAGACTCTCAAGCACGTGCACGGCTCTAACCGTGCTGTCATCTCCGCACAGCCCAAGCTTGGAGTTAGTACCCAGATGCTGCATACCAGAGGCTTAGAGGCAAAATGTTATTTTCCTCAAGAAAATTAAAACCAAAAGCCTGCCCAGCGTTTTTATAACACAAGAGAAAACGTAGCTGCAAAACGCCTGCGGTGAGACGCTCGCCCGAGAGCGACTCCAGTCCAGGCTCCGTAGCCAACAGCCTTTTTCATCACCAAATGACTGAATCATGCAATGAGCCTTCCAGGGTATTTAAAGGTGACCTAAACAAAAAAAATTAATTGGGCTTGTGCCCTTTCACTTTTTGGCTTCTTTATGATAGGCTGGAGGGTATTTTTCCCCTCACTTGCCATGTCTTAGTTGTTTGGGGTTTTTTTACAGCCTAGTCTTCAAGAATACTTCCTCCTATTGTGTGCTATATTTATTCATTCTGAGAGTGTCTAATAAAAATAAGTACAAGTTATATGGCAAAGGCAGCTATTTCCATTTCATTCTTATGCACAAGAGACTTGACATCCCAGGACAGGCTGTTTTTATTTCCAGAGTATGACAAAGACCCAGGAACTTAATATACAAAAGTGTATTTTAAAGACCAGCATGGAATCCAGTGCCTGTGAAAATTGGGCCCTATAGGACATTGGGGATTTAGAAGAAACTTTGCAATAAGAAACATTTCACAAATTCTTCTATTCTTTTTCCTTTACCTCCTTTTTTTGGTGGAAAACCTAAGTCAAATGGAAGATTTCAATGACGATCTCATCTAGGAAACCAACCAAACCTGCTCCCAACCTCATTTTCAAAGCAGTCCATTTGCACTTAACTAGAAGGGAGAGGTGCAATAGGATCCAGGTACAGAAAGCCACGGCTTGAGCTGGAAGCCAGGTGAAGGATGGGTACACTCCACGGGGCAAAGGGACAGGTCGGGGATGGTGAACGGGGGCCTCGAGGTCTAAAAACAAAACTGGCCTTAAGTCTACCCATCAGCAACATCCCACCACGGCTGAGCATGTCCCCCTCCCGCTTTGTCCCCCTCTCTGTCCCAGTACCTTTGGCTGCTGGTAGTGCTCCATGGCCATGGTGATCACGTTGAGGCCAATCACTCCGGTGATGAACAAATCCAGGTAGTGGCTGGTGCACATCTGGTGGATCAGGAGGCGGAAGCGGGAGTAATCCGAATAGTAGGGCTTACACTGTGCTTCTGCAGCGGAGGGGAGGAGAGCGGAGAGGCACGTCAAGTCATTTCTCTGCATCTTTCTGAAGTCAATGCACCCTCACTTTCCAACTCCAAAGATGATAAATTCTAGATCAATTACAGCAACCCCCCCCCCCCCTCCCTTTTTCTTACTGGCATGTTACCATTTTTAATACACAGCCGGGCTCCCGTCATCTTACATCCGTGAAACATCTTCAGTGGGACATGCACTATACTCAGCCTTATGGCATCAGGGATGAGGTGAGCTGAGACTATTGTGCTGCTAAAAAATGTTTTCCCTGTAG